GAGTGATTCCTGAGTGCAGACAGGAGTAACCCCTGAGCCCCAGAGGGTGTGACCCCTAAACCAAAAAATATTCACAAAATTTTATCATTTTAGCTACTTATAAACTGTGCGGTTCAATAACTATCCCTCCAGGCCCTCTTGACCATCATTCTTTGCTCTGCTATAATTTTATTTTTTTGGCGGTGGGGGGACGATCATACCCACTGGTGCTCAAGGCTTATTCCTAGTTCTGCATCTCAGGGATTGTTCCTGGCTGGGGATTGGGGGACCATCCAGGTCCCAGGAATTGAACGAACCTCTGCTGATGGTGTGCAAGGACAATCTTGCACAATGCAAGCGCCTTGTTGGTTGCACTATAGCTTGGGTCTGAATTTCCTTCCTTTAAAAAACCAAATAATTCGGGGCTGGAGCAATAGCACAGCAGGGAGGTATTTGCCTTGCATGCGGCCAACCCAGGTTCGATTCCCAGCATCCCATATGGTTCCCTGAGCACTGCTAGGAGTAATTCCTGAGTGCATGAGCCAGGAGTAACCCCTGTGCAATGCTGGGTGTGACCCAAAAGCAAAAAAAAAACACCCGAATAATTCAATAATTATGTTGCTAATTATTTACTATTAATTATTTGTCGTCAGTCTGGAGACATGTTGGTGAATTTTACCTTTTGGGTATTATAAATAAAATTGCTTCTTAGCCTGGGTATACGAAGACGCCTTCTTTTTGCTTTCAGTTCTTAATGGGTAAATGCCCATGCGTGGAATTACTGCATTGTGTTAGAAAAATTAAAATGTTTAATTTTTTAAAACTTTAAATAAAATTTAAAAATTCTTTCATTTTAAATAAAATTTAAAATCTTAAAAAATTTTTTAAAAATTAAAAAATTTTAAATTTTAAATATGATTAAAATTTTAGTTTTGATTTTATTTGACTTCATGTAGCGGGTTCAATCCCTGGCAGCCCATATGCTCCCTCAAGCCCGGCAGGAGTGTGCCCTGAGCTCCAGTTGTTTATTTATTTATTTGCTTGCTTGCTTTTTGGGTCACAGCCAGCGATGCTCAGGGGTTCCTCCTGGCTCTGCACTCAGGAGTTACTCCTGGCGGTGCTCGGGGGACCATATGGGATGCTGGGAATCGAACCGGGTTGGCCGTGTGCAAGGAAAACGCCCTACTCGCTGTGTTATCGCTCGAGCCACTCCGGTTGTTTATTTGTAAAGTAACAAATTAAAAATCACTTTCCCGCCGTATTCCCCGGTCTTGGGGGAGGGGGCGAATTTAGACTCGGAGCTATCCTGCTTATTTTTGAAATAATAATTTAAAAATCACTTTCCAGCCATGGCCCCCGGTCTTCAGGGGGGGGAGTGCGCTATTCTAGACTCGGGGCTGGCTGTTCGGGTTGTTTATTTTTGAAATAATAATTTCGAAATAATTTTCCCGCCATATTCCCCGGTCTGGGGGGGGGGCAATTTTAGACTCGGGGCTGTTCTGGTTTTTTAAATAATAAATTTAAAAATCATTTAAAATTATTATTAACGACAAGTTAATTATTAATAATTATTAACGATTATTTTAAATTATTTAAAAATATTTTTTGAAAAAATAATTTAAAAAATCACTTTCCCGCCATATCCCTCGGTCTTCGGAGGGGGGGGTGGGGCCGCCTATTCTAGACTTGGGCAGTCCCGGTTTTTTATTTTTGAAATAATTTAAAAATCACTGTCCCGCCATATCCTCCGGTCTTCGGAGTGAGGGGATGCTAATCTAGACTCGGGGCTGTTCCGGTTTTTGAAATAATAAATTTAAAAATCGCTTTCAATTGTTATTATTAATTACAAGCGGCCAACATGGCCGACCCGAGTTCGATTCCTCCGCCCCTCTCGGAGAGCCCGGCAAGCTACCGAGAGTATTCGATATGCCAGACACAGTAACAACAAAGTCTCCAATGGAGACGTTACTGGGCCCGCTCGAGCAAATCGACGATCAACGGGAGGGCCTTTACCTTTACCTTTACCTTTAACTATTAATAATCATTTAAATTATTTAAAATAATCTTAAAATAATTTAAAAATCACTTTCCCACCATATCCTCCGGTCTTCGGAGTCGGGGGAGGGGGGCTAATTTAGACTCGGGGCCGTTTCAGGCTCTGCTCTGGTGGCCCAAGCGATGCTGTCGGAGAGCACTGAGGCCAGAGTAGGTCCTGCGCCTTACTTCACGCCGCTCAAAATCCCCAAAGGAAAAGTCTAGATCTCGCAGTTGCTCCAGCCCTGCCGCGCTCGTCTCGTCGCCGCAAGAGATAATACGCGGGCTAATGCCGCCGACCTCGGTTCGATCCCTGGCTGCCCCACTCGGTCCCCGGAGCACCGCCAGGAACGGCGTCTGGGCGCGGAAGCGGGGATTCGTCCCCGAGTACCGCCGGGTGGGTCCCCGAACAAACAACTACAAGCGAAGTTGTTCAATTTACTTCTAATTCCACAGTTCCAGAACTGCCCATCGTCTCCGTCCACTTTTTTTTTGTGCCTTTATAGTTTATTTTAAGACCACACCCGGCGGTGCTCGGTGCCGGGGATCGAACACCGCCGGCCGCGGGCAAGCAAGCGGCCCCCCAGCCCCCACTGCCCCCCCCCACGGTCCTATGTCTCCGCTCGGAATTTCTTTCCTTTGAAAAACCGAATAAATCCCATAATTACGCTAAGGATTTGTTCATCTGTCGACCTGTAAAGTGACTTTTTACCACTTGGCTCTTAGGAAAAAAAATTGCCTATCCGCCAGAGTGTACAAATACTCCTTTTCTGGCTTTTAGTTCTTTGGAATTACTGCGTGAAGAAAAAAAAATCTTTTTTAGGGGCCAGAGACACAATACGGGGTTACGAAGCTTCCCGAGGCCGAGGTCTGACCCCTCCGTACCGCATGCAGTGCCCCGAGAGCCGCCCGGCCGGAGTAGCCCCTGGGCCCTGCTGGGTGTGGCCCGAATGCCCTCAGCTCGCAAAAAAAAAAATAATAATAAATAAAATAAAATAAAAAGGGGGGAAAAAAACTCTTACCTTTTTCTCAGAAGCTGGCCAGACTCCCAAGCAGTGCTCGGGGACTCCGGGCCTGAGATTCGGAGTCCGGGGTGCAAGGCAGGCACCTCCGGCCGCTCCGGGGCCCAGGAGCACCGAGCACTTCGGGGCGTCCTCCCTCACTGCGCCTCGCTCGAAGCCGACAGCCAAAAACCGGATGTCGCACGCCCAGCCACGAGACTCCCTCCGTGCCGTGCTCGCCGCCGCCAGGGGGCTGTAGGGGGCTCAGCCGCCTCGTGGCGCCCGGAAGAAATTGGCGCCTCCCCCTTCCCCCCCCCCGCACATCCCATGCCCCCCCTTCTAGGTTGTCTGGGCCACCCGCACGGCCTGACCCAAGACTGTCTGGGGCAGGTGACCGCAGCCCGAGCCCGGATCGCCAACCCCCCTGTCTCCAGCAGTAGCCCCCAGACCCTTTGTGCAGTTTCGGTGGACCCGCCCCGTCCAAACCCACCTGCAGGACACACAAGGAGGGTCGCAGGAGGGGGGGGGGGTGGGCGGCTGGGGAGATCGCACTGGACCCGACCCAGGGATGGATTTTCCCTGTCGGCGTTGGTTGCTTGGTCCGCCCAGAGCACCGTCGGGAGCACCGAGTCTAAAGTAGCCCCCGCAGAGCCGGGGCTGTGGCGCAAAAAAAAAAAAAAAAAAAGATTTGGAAGGGATTATTAAAAATAAAACAACGGGAGTTCTGGGTTCGCTGCTGCCGGGTTCGAGGGAACGGGCGGCCCGCTGGAGTCAGGACCCGGGCCGGCTGCGACAAGACTCGTGACTTACCCGCTGCACTATCCGGCCGCCGCGGTGATTTTTAAAAATTCTTGGCTTATTCCTGGCTCCGGGCTCGGGGGTGTCCCTAGATAATGTTCGGGCGAATCCTCTGGGGTGCAGGAGATCAAACCCGGGTTGATACGTGAAGGGAAGTGACCTCCCCACTGTACTATCACTCTGGATTCTGGGTTGTTTCTCCTCGAGGGACAGTACGGCGGGTAGAACGCTTCCCTTTCACATGGCTGACCCAGGGTAATTCCAGGGACCCCTTTATGGTACCCGAACCCCCCCAGGAACCATCCCTGAGCACCGCCAGGTGTGGCCCCAAACAAAACACTCCCTTCCCCCAAATTCCACACAAGAGTGGGGAGAATTTTGCTAGAAGCCCATCCTTCTCCCTTTCTGGTACTTTCTTTGTGGGGGCTACCCATGGGTCTTGCTGGGGACCCGGGGGTCTCTTCCAGTGTTGTACTTAAGAGAACGGGGTGCCAGAGACTCACCTCTGGCTTAGACTGTCAAGTATATCTCCGCCAGCCCCCCCCCCACCTCTCCTGTTTTTTGGGTATTAAGTAACGAAAAAGTAAAAACACAACAGTTTACAAGTTCCAAACTTTTAATTAAACGATTCATGAGCGGGGCGGCACGCCACGTCTGCAAAATGAAAGGCACAAATACACTGCTCAGAATTTCGAAAGACACAAACACAGTGAATCAAACCGTCTTCAATGATGCCAGGATCTGGCCAAGGCACATTTTTTTTTTTTTACCGCTCAGCTTAACTTGTACCTCTCACGAGCCATCGGAGGAAGCCCCGAATCTGAGCGGCCTTCAGTGCAGGGGCCTCCGTCTGGGGTGGGTGGGTGGGGGGCCTGCCCCTTTGAAACAAACCAGTAACCGAATAGAAAAACAAAAAACAAAATCAGTCCCAGACCCAGTAACTCGAGTCTTCGGGCAAACCGGGGGTATCAAAAAAAAAAAAAACTGCAACAGTTCTCCAGTTCCACGGCCCCTACGCGGCTTCTCATTCGTTTCAGAGTCCTGCCAAGATTCTCAGGGCCCAAAGCCCAACCTCGACAGAAGCCCGAGCCATGCAAGCGCACAACAGCACAGCAAAGAAGCGAGGAGGTAACGCCAAACGCCAGGTGGACGGGCGGGCGGGCGGGCGGGCGGGGGCCGGCCGGGCCCCATCAGTAGAAGCAGACGGTGTGCTGGAAGGTCTTGCCGGTCTTCTTGGTGAGCTCGCGCAGGAGACTGTCTATGTCTCGCTCCACATCCTCCAGGCGCTGGATGCACTGGCACAGGTCGCAGATGAGGAAGGCGCCCAGGGTGGCCTGCTTCAGGGTGTCGCGGATGTTGACATTGACGACGTGCACCGGCTGGTACGTCTCCTGCTCGCGGGAGCTCAGGTCTTGCACCACCAGGTCGTACACGCGCTCCTCGCAGGTGATGATGAGGTCGAAGGCGTCGGGGCAGCTCTGGAACCTCTCGGGCCGCGGCTTGAGGCGCTTGTTGCGCTCGAGCATCCGCAGGATGCCGTTCTGCGTGTAGAAGTCGCGGTCCTGGTGCGCGAGATCCAGGTACATCTGCTCGTAGGTGGCCTTGAAGTCGTACACGTTGGGCTTGTCGGGGCTGGGCCCGGGCAACCTCACGCGGCTGCCGGTGCCGAAGGAGCGCACGCAGAAGCCGCGCTTGCTCAGCATGTAGTGCGCCTCCATGCTCCGGTTCTGGTTGTTGGAGCACACGACCGCCACCCGCAGGGGTGTCGTGGTCGTCATCGAGGTGGCCATGTGGAGCTGGGCCGGGTGGCCGGTGGGCCGGGTCCTCCGCTGGGCTCTCTCTCGCCCCGAGCGGACGGCGATGTGGCGTGCTGGGCGGCCACACGCGGACTGGCGTCTCCCGGCGGCGGCGGCGGCTGCGGCGTCCCCCGGGTTCTGCGCCTCCGGGCCTGTGCGTCACGTGCGCCGTTCACGTGCCCGCCCGGCTGCCCGTGAGCCCTCAGCGCGGCGGCGGCGTCTGGCTTCCCTTCAAGCAGATAGAAAACGAAACCACACAGCCTGGTGATTTCCCGTGCACGCCTCGGTTTCCCTACCCAGCATCCCCGACGACGGGTCTTCCGAGGCCCCCAGCCCCTCGGGGCTCGAGGCCCTGGAAGAGGACGCCAGATGCTCCGAGTTTATTGATTAGGGTGGATGTTGTGTGGATGTGTGTGTGGGGGGGGTGGGTCAGCGCGGGGGTGCAGGGGCACCTGCCTGGGCTGCAGGCGATGAACGGGGGTGCAGAATCACACCCCGGAATCGGCCCCTCCCTCTGCCACGCCTCCCCAGCACCCGTGGCTATTTTTAAAAAACGAAACAAAACAAAACCAAACCAAAACACCCTTTTCTATTCGGGTTGGCTCAGGTGCCCACCTGCTCGGGGAGAATGCGACTCTGTGGTCCTAAGGGAAGGGATTTGGACCTCGAACCTTCTTTCCCCCACCCCCGCCCCCCATTTGGGCCCGGGCCGTCGGGTGAATCAAAGAAATGACCAGGAGAGCAACACAGTTTAGGCAAGAGCAAAGCAAGTTTATTAAAAAAGAAACAGCACACCGTCGAGGGGCACGCGGGAAGAGAGGAGGAGAGCGAGCGAGGATGTCCAGCGGCGACGGGTGGGGGAGGGGCGGGGGGCGAGAACATTTTCTAGTCTGTCTGTTTTCGGTGGAAAGTTTCTGATTTCGAGAGATTGGTTAGTCCTGGGAGGGGAAGGAGTGAGCAGGTGACGTTTAGGGAAAATCTGGGAAAGGTGAATTACACAGGAAATGTTATCGAACCAATCCCAGGAAGAAAAATGAGAGGTACTGGGGCCTGCCCGACAGTGCAGTGGGTAAGTTGTTTTTTTGCCTGGCATGCTGCTGGACCCGAATTCGATCCCTGGCTCGAGTCTCCCTCAGCACAGAGCCCTGCGCACCTCTGGGTGTGGCCCCGAAACCAAAAAGAAAGAAAAGAAAATGAAGGGTGTAGAGGGTAATTTGAGCGGACTGTAAAATGTTCTGAAACAATCAATGTGACGACAGTGAAAAGTATATCAAATCAGTTAAGCTTATCCTTGGAAGGGAGTAAGTGCAGTTAATTACAGGAATTTGAGCAGCAGATGCATAGGATATCTTTTTCAGGTAGTGTAGTTAGAGTTTCAAAAGGAATGTTTGGTTTTTAAAACTTTATTATTATTGAGGTACCGTGATTTATAATACTGTTAATAATGGTTTCTTATGCACATAATTCCAACACCACACCACTGTACCCTGTGCCTCCCAAAGTCCCAAAACACCTCTCCTTTTCAACCCCCTACCCGCAAACTCCGTTATGTTTATCAGTTCTCCATTTATGTTGCCTTTAGCCCTTTGGTGCTACTTTGCCGTGCATCTTTTTGTGGCGGGTGATGCTCAGGGGTTACTCCTGGCTCTGCACTCAGGAATGAGTCCTGGTGGGCTTGGGGGGGGTGTGGGCAGGCAGGAATGGAAGCCACGTGCAAGGCAAGCGCCCTAGCCGCTGTATTATCTCTCCGGCCCCAATTGTGTATCTTTGAGTTCCACATGAGGTGCATAGGGGATACCGCTGCTAGTTCCAGGAACTGAGCGGCAGAATACAGCGATGGTGCTAGCAACCTGCAGAATTGCTGGGACACGGATGATTTTAGCAGGGCCAGCTGGGCCAATTATGTCAGCAGGGATGGTTTCTGCCTGACAGACAGGAGCTTAAACTAGGCCTCTTTCCGGGGCTTCTTCACGACGCAGTTACCTAGGTTAATCTGAAAATACTAATTTATTGAAATTACACTGTGCCACTCCCGTTTTCATAAATGAACTTACCTTCTCTCTGCTCTCTACCTGGTATTAGTGATCACCGTTCTCTCTGCATCAGTCCTGCCAACAGCACCCCGCATTCTGCATTGTGGTCACTTGTTTGGGGACTATTTACTGAACTGCTTTGGACATACCTCTGGAATGCTTCTAAGATAAATGTCCCCTCCTCAGAGAAATTCCTATAGAGAGCTATGAGCAGCCCATGGCCTAGTCTCTGGGCCCCCTAGGACCAAAGCCCCTTTTGGGGACCGAATGGCTAGCCCAAAGGGCCGAGTGCAGGTGTGAGGCCTGGATTCCACCCGTAACACCACATGGTCCCCTGAGCACCACCAGAGCGACTCTCACACACTGGGTAGGGAGTACCCACCCTCTAACACCGTTAGGTGTCGCCGACCCCCCTCAAAAGAAACCCCTTTTCAAGTCATCCTTGCTGTCAAATATCCACACATGTCTCTCTCACCAAAAAACTGTGAACTCATTTTGCAAAAGATAAATTCACATGCGTGTTCTCACCTTGCCTCTTCTTCCAACTTGAGCAAAATGCAAGTTCAAATAGTTTCTTTGAGGGGAAGCCGCTGAAAGGCTTCATATTTAGTTTCTTTTTTTTTAAGTGGGGAAAACAAAAGGAACGGCGATTATATCAACCATCGTTTGTGGGACTGTTTGTGCCTGGTTCTGGGGCTACCGCCAACAGCGCTTAGGAGACCAGGCAGGGCTTGAACCCAGACCTCCCACATGCAAAGATTGTGCTCAGGCCTTTGGCCCCTCTCTCTCTCCAGCCCTCTTTATCTATTTTTAATGTGACACTTGGGGAATTCAGAATGATCTGTGTGGCTTGCATTCTCTCCAGCCCCGCTCTAAACCTGAGAGCCTGGTTTAGAGTTTGGTCTTAGTTTGTCCCCCCCCCCCCCCCCCCCCGGTGCTTTGCTGGTCCCATCACTCTTTTTCAGATGTACGGTCTCCTTACCTAAGTAAAGCCCACCCTGACAGGCCTAAACAAGCATGAGGACAGTCTACCAGGCACCTCTGACTGGTTCTGCTGAGGATCATCACAGATTATTAAATTCTTTTCAGAGTATCAGGGAAGAGAAAGGCATTTTGAAGCTGACTCGGTTAATCCCAGCAAACAGGCAGTTATCACCCAGAGACTAACACCCACATTTCCTGGGGGAGGGGGGCAGATTCAGGGTTACTGGTTAGCCTGGTTAGCCGGGGCACAGGAAGCATTCCTGAGGTCCTATCAGCTCATTGTTTTTCAAGGGTATTAGAATGTTAATGAAAGATAGTCCAGGGGCATCCCGAGTCTAGATTATCAAGCATTTATCCAGTTTTTGGTGAAAGGCGGTGCCAAAACAAGCCTTTTAAGACTACTGTTCCCTGGGCTCATTTACATTCTCCAAAATTGGGGAAAGAATTAAATCTTGAACACTGGTTATGAAATACATGGCCAATGTTAGCCACCAGTGGCCATTATTTTAATACATTTATGCCTATAGGTAAACAGCTACATGGGACTGATGGACACGTTAATTTTTTTTGGTGTCATATCCGGCTGCTCTTGGGGCTCCCCTGGCTTTTTACTTGGGCGTCTGCTCTCATGGCTTGAGGGACACACGGTACTAGAAACAGAAGTCAGGCCCCTCGCGTGCCAAACACGCAGCTTGAGACAGTGGGTGAGCTTGCAGCCCACTGCGGCATATGGAAATTAGCTACCCGCCCCAAGTGAGCACCTTTTAGAAAGAGTCATTCTATTCATTTTCCTTCTTAGGAAAGCTGAGAGATTAGCAACCCTAAAAATTCTATGGGGGGGGGGCTGGGGTGATAGCACAGTGGGGAGGGCATTTGCCTTGCATACGGCCCACGCGGGTTCGATTCTCAGCATCCCATATGGTCTCCCGAGCACCGCCAGGAGTAATTCCTGAGTGCAGAGCCAGGAGTAACCCCTGAGCATTTCTGGGTGTGACCCAAAAAGCAAAAAAAAAAATTTCTATGGGGGTGCTGGAGTGACAGTATAGTGGGTACGACGTTTGCCTTGCACACAGCCGACCCCGGTTTGATCCCTGGCATCCCATATGGTTCCCCCCCCCCCAGCACTGCCAGGAGTAATTCCTGGGTGCATGAGCCAGGAATAACCCCTGTGCATCACTGGGTGTGACCCAAAAAGCAAATAAATAAATAAATAAAAATTCTATGGGCTGAGGACTTAGTCCTATACTAATTTTCTCCCCGGCTGGGGTGTCTCTTTGTCCTCTACTTTTCAAGAAACTCTAGCACAGCGGGTAGGGCGTCTGCCTTGCACGCAGCCAACATGGCCGACCCGAGTTCGATTCCTCCGCCCCTCTCGGAGAGCCCGGCAAGCTACCGAGAGTATTCGATATGCCAGACACAGTAACAACAAAGTCTCCAATGGAGACGTTACTGGGCCCGCTCGAGCAAATCGATGATCAATGGGAGGTTCTTTATTTTTCTATTTCTTAAAAAATGATATGTACTGGGGATATGGCTCATATAGCAGAGAAAAGCTGCTTCTTTTTAAAATAAAGTTGGTTTGGTGAGACTACACTAAACCTACCATTTTTTTCTTTTTGGGTCACAACCAGCGATGCTTGGGGGTTACTTCTAACTCTGCTCTCAGGAATTCTTCTCCACGTGGTGCTCGGGGGACCATATGGGATGCTGGGAAGAGAACCCAGGTCGCCATCTGCAAAGCAAATGCCCTACCCGCTGTACTATCAGTTCAGCCCTGAGCAAAGCTTCCAAAACTCCTTCTTTTACCCGAGAAATTCTTACTCGAAAAATTAATGTATATAACATAGAAAGAAAACAGTCTTTTTTGGCAGGGGTGGGGGGGACCACACCTGCGATGCTTAGGGTTTTTATACACTCAGAGATCATTCCAGGCAGGCTCTCAGAACCAGATGAGGTACAGGCATG